GTGCGGATCGCGACGCGGGCGGAGGTGGGGTCGGGGCACCCGGATCCTGGGTGTACCTTCCTCTGGGGGAAGGAGGTTGGCGCCGGCCAGGGTCGGCCAGGGTCGTAGAAAGTTCTGGGGTCAGAGGAACTCCATGGCCGGAATTGGTGAAGCAGGCCTATAGCGCTGAAACTCTGAGGCTGAGGCAGGAGGATCACAAGTTCAAGTTCAGCCTGGGCAACTTAACTGTTACCCCGAGATAAAACTTACAAGGGGCTTGGGATATAGTTCAGAACAGGGTTTAATCTCCACTACTACGGAGAAGGAGAAAGACAGAGAGGACCTTAGGGCCCAGGACGACTGCCCAGGTGAGATATGCTACTACCTAGAGCTTTAGAGGTGGACTCTGGGGACAGAAGGTTCTGGAATTTTAAATTGTTTCCCCACTCTACAGCCCCCATTAAAAAACAAAAAACAAAACAAAACAAAAAACCCAAACCCAATGGTAAGAGCTGGTAGTTAGAAGAGTTTTTCCTTTTGGGCTAGGGCAGGTAGCCTCCCCAGAAGATCTGGGAGTATTCTGTCCCTTGAGGCAAGAGAGAAATGTCTAGTGTGGGGAGGCCCTCAGGTGGCCAGAGTGGTGGCCAGGTTTCGGGGGCCCGTCCAGGTCCCTCATCCCAGTCTGCCCAGGTGCTCTGTGCAGGGACCCAGCACATGCAGGGATGCACACGAGCTCCAGTTAGCACTTGGTCAGAGGGGATTGTTACCTCAAAATCGAGGAAGAGGAAGTTATAAGCATGTGACTGGCACATTATTTTTTCCTGGCTGGGCACTTGGTGGGGTTAATTTGCTAGTGTTCAATAAATCATTCAGGGTCACGGTTGTAGGCTTGAATGTCTAGAATCTCGGAGGTGACTGCAGGAGGAGAGTCAGGCAGGGCTGTCCGTTTGCTGAGACCTCTTAATTTAACTGTGGCTTTTCTCTGTAGCGTGAAGAAAATAAGCTGCTGTGGGGCCTGGAGGGTTCTCTGGGGGTTGCAGTACCTCTCTGAGCCTGCTTTTCCTCTTTGGGTAAAGAGTGCCTGGATCAGATGGTTTCTAAAGTGTTTTCCAGGTTTCATATTCTTTCTCTCTTCTTCTCCTTCTTATTTTCTGCGAATCACCAAGTTGGTCATCCTTGGCATTTTGGGGTGATGAATTCCTAGGAATCCTGAAGAGAAAGTGTTCCCCACTTCTGGAAAAGGCCCCCCTCACTGACAGGATTTGCTTCTTACTCAGGAGCTCAGGGACCACAGGCTGAGGCCAGACACATTCCCGGAGCCCAGCCCCTGGTATGTTCTCCCACCTCCTCCAGGTAGCCGAAGGCCCCAGGCTCGGAGTCTCTCCCTCCTCCCCGGTGAGCTGTAGGAACTGGCACCGTGCTTGGTTGTTTGGAGGGTATGTGGTGGTGCTGCTTTATCCTTTTCCCTAGGTATAATCTCCCGAATAGGCCCCTTCTTACTTGTGAACTCAGGCTCTGGGCCTCTGGAGATATATCCCTCACTTTTCAGATGCAGGGTCACAGAGAGAGGTTCCTGAGGTCCCGCTGGAGAGCAGCTCTGCTGGTGCCTGGGGTTTCCAAACTCCAAGTCCTGCTTCACACCTGTGTCCCCTTCTGAGCCCACAGGGGAGCGACGGGGTTATTGAGTGGAAAAGCTGAGACTGGTGCTTCAGATCTCACCTCCTTCCCCGGGGACCTGGCCCCCTTCCCTGGCCCCACAGCACCTGCAGGGGCTGGAGTTTCCCAGATGCACTTCTTGCAAAGGTTCCTGACTTGCTTTGCCTGTGGACCAGCATAGCTCTGGCTGTAACCATATTCTTGGGGGTGTTATGTCTTGTCACTGCTGATCGCTTCAAACTCATCTGCTCAGAGAGGTCACATTTCACTGGAAGAATAGAAATGCTGTTTCTTTGGTTTCTTTTTGGGTGGGCGTCCGTCCAACTGCCTGGGGGATTTCCAGCACTGTTCTTGTAAGTGTTGGCTGTGAGTCGTGACAGCATGTGCATCTTCTCTTTCTCTGCGCCACTGGGAAAGCCACCTGTGAGTGCTGGCAGGAGAGTCTCGGGGTGCCTCTAGGTGCCCTGGGAGGGTCAAGCCGGCTTCTTGGCTGTAGCTGCGGACCCTTCCTCCGCCACCCACCGTCCCTCATGGGCGTCAGAGTCCCTAGGAAGAAGGCGACCGCTTCTGTGACTGAGGGAATCTTTCAAGGCTCTAGCCTTAGCTCAGGTGCTACTTCCTGTGCAGCACCTGGACTCTCACCGCAGTGCTGCCAGTGTGGCAGTCCTCGCCAGTGACACTACAGGGTCACTTGGCTGGAACGGGATCCCAGCTCTGTCTCATGCTCCTGCTGCGCCACCAGCTGTGAAGGGACAGCTTGGAGGGCTGTGTCGAGGGCTCCCTCTTTCTCGGGGGTACCCGTCCTCTGGGCACGGGGTTATCGGGTGCTTCTCAGTGCACTGCATCACAGGGAGGAGACTTTTCCTCAGCTTGTATTGAAAATGCTGCTGTTTGACGTGGCTGTGTTTGTCTGGGACAGGAAGTCAGGGAGAGTGGGAAGTCCAGCCAGAACCAAAGGTGAGGCTCGCATGGGGCCGGGGGCTGGCTGGCAGCTTTCATCTAGGTTGGGGGTCACAGAGGCCTTCTCCTGGCAGGTGGCCCAGAGTTGCTGGCCCTGGGGTTTCCCCCACGCCAGCACCTCTGTTGTGAACCTCCACGTTTCCTGTTGGCCGCGTTCTTGGGTGGTTTGGGCTTATCAAGCAGTGTTTGGTATATGCAGGGTTTGATTTTTCCTTCTGAAGGATGTGTGACAGGAATGGCGGGCGGCGGCTTCGGCAGTGGCTGATTGAACAAATCGACAGCAACCTGTACCCGGGGCTGATTTGGGAGAGTGAGGAGAAGAGCATGTTCCGCATCCCGTGGAAGCACGCCGGCAAGCAGGACTACAACCAGGAGGTGGACGCCTCCATCTTCAAGGTCAGCCTGGGTCCCAGCTAACCGAGCAGCTGCTCTTCTCTTCTCCCTGGTGGCAGTGCAGGGGTCCCCAGGCTTCTGCTTGGCTTTGCAGCCACTGCTCCGAGATGTCCTGGACTGGAGCCAGTGTCTCCGCGTGGTCTCCTCTCCCGTGAGAGCCATCTCTGCCCCACGCCTGGGCCTGGCCCTCTGCTTCCCCCTCTGATGTCGTGATGGCTGGTGCAGACAGAGTTTGTTCTGAGCCGGCCTGGCCCCCCTGGTCCCAGCCTTCACACACCTAGTTTCAGACGGAGAAATGGGAACCAGGGCAGCCGGCTCTGCGGGCCATCTGGGTCATCAGAGTCACCCGTGGCTCAGGCCCACAGGTGGTCTGACTCAGAGCCCGGCTTGCCAGCCGCCGCCGTTGTTGCATTTTGGATTGGAAGGAAGGTTGGAAGGTTGGAGTGCTTGGGAGGGGGCTGAGTTACAGAGGACCAGAGACAGACCTGAGACCATGAGCGAGCTGGGGAGCCAAGCCCACTGGGCAGCATTGCATCGCTGGCCAGAGCTGCGGGTGATTGACTTCTGGCGCAGGTACCAGACTGGGGCACAGCTGGGTCAGGCTGGGCTTGAGCCTGTGTGTCAGTCATCAGGTGCCTCTGGTCCGCGCTGGCAGCGGACCCTGCTTTAGTGATTCTGTTAACTCCATGCTCTGGGCTTGTCTTCGAGCACTGATGCTGACTGCTCCGAGGAAAACGGGCACGTGGGAACACGCTGCACTCACTCTCGGGGTCCCCTGCTGCCCACGTGTGCCCCAGATTCCTTCCAATCGAAGGTCCAGCTCAGGGAGCCTGGACACCCCAGGGTTTGCAAGGCCAGCCCCTGCTCTTCCATTCCCAGGGCCAGTGCGGATCTCGCGTGCATCTGCTCTTAGCGGTCCTTTGCCATTGGCACCAGGGATGTTCTCTTTGGAGTGACTCTGCTTTGGGTGCACAGTGCCCACGTGCCGCCCATCATCCGGGAATTCTAGGCGTGGGTGGTTGTGGGCCAGGGTTCCAGGCCTCAGCACCGTTAGGTCTAGGGCCAGATACCTTTCTACTGTGAGGGCTCTGTAGGACATCGTCTACATTCCGGGCTTCTCCCACCAGATGCCAGTGCGTCCCCTTCCCCAACAAACAGAAATGTCTCAGACACTGCCAGACGTCCCCTGGCAGCATGATCTTACCCTTCCCAAGGAAAACCCTGTTCTGAGCTGACCATGGCCAGATGAATGCTCGAGCGGTGGTGTTGGGGGCGGGGCTCAGCTGTAGGCTTCCAGAGATGGGCATGGTGCCGGTGGCTGCAGAGAGGCAGCTGCTCCCTTCCCTGTCCCCTGCTTCGGTGTGTGCGCCGGGGGAGTGAAATAAAGCCCCAGATTTATACGTCTTATGCAATGCTCTTCATGGCCGTTTCAACAGTGTAGAGAAAAATGTGCAAGATTCCCAATGTTTCCGTTGGTTACGCAGTCGTTCGATGTGGCAATCTGAAATGAGTCTACAATCTCAGCAGGAACGGGGACAGCAGGAGACATGGTGCCCACCCAGAGTGGGGGCCGGTGGGCCTGGGCCGGTCAGAGCTGCGGTGGTGTCCCGGGCACGTCTTGCGCTTTCCCAGGCCAACGTGCAGAGCTGCTGCTTCTGAGTCCCCGGGAGGGTCCACCCAGAGGTAGCTGCCAGGCATGGCTGCCGCTGGAAGGGGCCAGCAGTGAGGCCAGGTCGGGGGAGCCGTTGTGGGTGCCACAGGCGAGGGGAGACATCGTTTTTTTCAAATGTGAAAAGAAAACGTTTCAGAAATCTAGGTGTTAAAAAAATCTATGAGTTTGCTTTCTTGCCTCTGAGCGGCGGCGAGAAGCCACTTACACCAGACTGCGCTTGTCTGCGGCATCCTCTTGAAGCCACATCGAGTGCCGATGGACGGCACGGTGAAAAAGACACTCAGCTCCCCCTGGCCCCACCCAAGCACAGTGAGGAGGCCCCATTCCAACTTGTGGTTCGTTTTAAAAAAGTGTCTTGCCTCTTTCATGAAGACGGGCGGGTGGACCTGGCCCAGCACAGCTGTGATCACGGGCTCTCGATGCACGGGCACCAGCCCTGATGGAGCCCACAGCCAGGGCTTCTTGGCCAGCTGTTCCAGACCCGCAGCCCTGAAAGAATCAATGTTTCAAACGCTACAGGGACAGTTTATTAGGTGAGGGAGACCTGGCCCTGGCTGCCGAGGCTGTGCACCATCCGCACTGTCTGCTGTGAGCTTGAGAGATCTCGTGAGCTGGCCGGAGAGGCCCTGAGAGGCCAGGTGCCTGCTGGTGACAGGGCTCAGGGTCTGACGTGTCCCGGCAGCGGGCCTGTGTTGGATGGAGCTCCCAGCCTTCCTCCTGGTTGGTGAGTGGCTAGAAGGAGTGGGGAGCTAGCTGGCGTGCCACTGCTGCAGCGCCCGTGCCTCCGAGGTCCTGGTGGAGGGTGGGGAGCCCGTGGTTCTCAACAGCAAGTGGAGGGCATGGCTTTTTCCCGGGAGACACGTGGCTGGGCCTGCAGACGTTTCCGGATGTTGAAGGGGTAGGGGTATTACTGGCATGGATGGATGGAGGCCACAGGTGCTGCTGAGTATCCCGCAGTGCTCAGGCCGGCTCCACAAAGTGCCAGCTGACTCCTCACACCGGGCAGGTGGAGTCAGAGAAAGCCTGAGTGACTGTTCCATCCACACAAGGTTTGGTCTGCTGTTTCCTTACAACAGCAACACGCAAATCAGCGCATGATCAGCGATGCAGCCAACAGAGGGTAGAATTGAAGACCATTTATTTGCTCACGTCAGGCGTGGTGGCACACGCTTGTAATCCCAACACTTGGGAGGCCGAGGCAGGAAGATCATCTTGAGTTTGAGGCTGGCTTGCACTACATACATAGTGAGGCCTTGTCTCAAAAAACAGGAAAAAAAAGAAAAAAAGAAAAAAGATGTTCCAAAGAGGGGTTTGTGTCTTGTTTCGGAAGGGAAAGTACGAAGGCTGTGCTTTCAGGGGTCATTTCCATAGTTGGCTACGGGAGATTCTCGGAAAGGAAAGGACTGCCTTGCTCACTGACAGGAATGTTCTTCCAATTCTGTTTTTCCAGGGCATAGATGCGCATTTGGCACCAGTAGAGTAGAGAGCCTTGGCCTTAAACTATAAACAGCTGTGTCTTTTTGAGAGGAAAAGGCGCCTGGGTTTCTGGAAATATGAGTTCAGACCTGATGGGCCTGGGCTGCAGGTGAATCTGGGGCAGGGCCCAGGAGTCTGTGTTTCGCACGCTGTCCTGGGGCTGTGATGCCCTAAGCTCAAGCTGCCCTGGAAGGTGGTTCACCTGCATCCAGCCCAGGACTGGGTCGCACCCGGGACATGACTTTCCTCTTGGAATTGCAATTTCCTGAGCAGGAGCGAGGGTTCCCTCCAGACTCCTTGTTGTTTTAGGCTGGAGAACACCACCAGAGTTTGCCTGAAACGAGGTGATTTTTACCTATTAGTGGTTACCTTCTGACTGGCCACTGCATTCCAATTCTAGACTCTTAAAATATGCTTGTTTGCATGTTTTATTTTTAAAATACTGCCCCATGTAATTTTTTTTTTTTTTTTTTTTTTTTTTTTTGT